CCACTCCACCTAATCCACCTCATATGGGCTATCCAGATAAGCATGAGATTCAAAGTACAACAGCGTGATGGTTGTCCGTCGTGTCCGACGATGACGGTAGATACAACAGCACTGAAATACAAAAAGACACTTCTGATTTAAATATTTACATTAAAAAAACCTAAGTAGCATAACCAGATCTTTGTGCTTTTCAAAATTGGACGTTGCTCATCTTAACTTCCCTAATGATGACAATAAAGGGGTGGTTAAAAAGACCTGAAATTATACTACAAATCAAAGCCTCTGTGGTGCATGATAAACGCAGAAGATAAATGTCCCTCAGCATTAATACAGGGCAGCAGCAAAAAAAAGTTATAGCACAGATGGTCTTTTTGTGCATCGCATGGCTTTTCAGAATAGTGACCTCACTGAGATACATGAGTTCTTCACTAAATGCTAAAGTGCTACTTTGTGCTTGATGTTTTACGTTTCACAAACATTTAACATAGGCAATTAGCTTACGAGGGTGTGTAGCACTGAAGTCTGAGTTCATGTAGTGCACTACCCAGGATTTCAACCCTAATTACACACACTGAGAAAGGGTTTTGGACCTCCTATAAAATCAGACACCGGAGAAATGCTGTTTGTATACCAAAGGCAATGCCAGCAGTCACTCACAATTACCCCAGAATTGCAGTACCAAAAACCTTTATCACCACCCCTCCCGACATCCCCATTACTAAAGAAGCATTTCTTGGCCCTGTCTACATTAAACCTACAAATGAATGTTAAGAGGTCAGTCAAGCCAGTTTGTCTTATCAGAATGTGAATTTGAGGCATGCCCTTTAAACAAGACCAAGTACAGCTACTTATTTAGGAGATGAACCTAAAAATAGTTTCTCACAGGAAATGAGTTACACAGGCCCCCCAGACCACAAAACCAAATATCCGAAATAGAGGCTCATCAAGAGTCCACTTGATGTGGTCAAGCCTACTCCTACACCGCTGGTGCCACAACTCCCAAGAATTACTAAAAAAAATAATTATTTAATTTAGTAAAAAGAACACCCTTGTCTTTCATATGCCCAGGTAAGCACATTCTCAGGAAAATGGAAAACGTCTGCAGCTGTCACCTGGCATTTTAAAGTTAGGAAGTTTCCAACGACTTGAGGTACTCAAACAGATAAGAGTGTAATACATCAGTAAAGGGAAGAGACTTCCGGAACTAAAAAAGTACCCACCACATCCCAATACTCACACACAAAAATTTCTATTTTTATAAAATGCTACACTCACTGCATGGCAGCAGGCGGTGATGTATTTAACGCAATTGTTTCACTGCAGGTGAAAGTCATCTCCTTTACACACCGACCTCTCTGTTCTAGGATAAGTGAGGGGAGGACATGTTGTAACAACGTTTTTTTTTCCAACATTACAACCAGAACTCACCCACTCATTTGACACTTTACACTGTTAATAAATTCAACAGAGAACAAAACAAAATGCCTCTTCAAACCCCATGAGATCATAGAAAGTTATGTTTTGAGCATTTAAAAAGCAAAGAATCCATTTTTGGATTCTGTGCTCCCGCTTTCAGCATGGCATATAGGGCAGTACACTGGTGTAACAATTTATTGACCTTAGAAAAATTTAACTATAGGATGATCAAAAAAGAAAACACCCAAGCCAAGCTGCAAATCAACCTGTAAAACTCTAGGTTAATCTGCCACTTAATCGAAGCATTAAAAATCCTTGAAACAACGACAGCACATGTTTGCACCATTTTAAAGGTTATTTTTTACATTTCAAAATATAGGATTAGACAAAACAAAATCCAGAGAGCATTTTTAAACTTCATTCAGGGATCAAAACATTTTAAACATACTCGTGCTAAAAGCTCTAGTAATTGATCAGGTCCCAGAACAGAGAGTATCTTATGGCTGGATAACTGTTAGGCCACCAACTGGTTAAAAGTTTAAAAAAATAAAAAGTGAAAAGTATCCCTATTATTTAACTTATCTGCAAATAGAAAGTGATAGTACTAAAACCCTGCTACACCCATGTTTTATAGCTATAGGTATTTTCATTTACAGCTTTTAATTAAATATTTACAAACTATATGCTCAGTGAGTAAAGGTCTTGGACGATTATATTCAGTAAATTTAGGGAAAACCACTTTGTAAGTAAATAAACAGTTTCACAATGCTGGTTTCAAGATAAATATCTGTTAATAGGAATCTATCAAAAAAATCAAGAAAGACGTACACTGCCTGGCTCTAGACATTAATGGAACACTGTATAGACTCAGAAGAAAGTCTTACGGTGCTGGAAAAGCATCAGAAACAATCTTTTACAAAGGCTTATACAATTCAGAAACACACTGTAACATATCCCAAAACTAAAACCATAACACAAGTAAATAAGCTTCACTAGAAGCAGCTCAAAGATGACTTCTTTTCCGGGAAAGCCCTTAATTATGTAGTTAAAAAAGGTAGTAGTTTTTTTTCCATCTGAAATTTACAGACAATCCCTAAACTCTAAAGAAAGCCACGACTGACAAATTCCATTAAAAAGCTATTTTTAGGTTTTGTTATCCTGACATGCATTAGTTCAAGGGGGGTTACAATTCCTAGAGTATAGTGGCCATAGATAACTGGAATCTTTAAAATAAGATGTGTGATTCACATATATTACGAAAACATTTTCAAAATTCCTTACTCAAGTTTGAACTTCTTTAAATTCCACTGTGACAGACAGATCATTGGACACAAATGGTAACTAAAGAAAACATTTATATGCATTTTAAACAGAGAACAGTAGCACTGCTAGAGACAGTGGATTTTAAGAGTATGGAAGAAACTATCAAGTTTTGCTGAAGGTGATACCATTTCTTCTTTCAAAACAAAATGTTTTTCCAAGATCCTCTGATCAAATAAACTAGATGGACTGAATGTTCCCCTTTTCTTTGCAAACTGTATGTTGTCAAAATTGGAACTGTCTTTTTTTAAGAAAGAGTGATGAAAGATTTTGTTTTTCCTATTAACAAAATACATGTAAATGTACAGCAGCAGAAGCAACTATGCAAATATACGCTGAAGGATAAGCAAATGTTTTACAGCTCGTCTGAAGGAAATCTCATTTAATTGAAGTGTCATTTTCAAAATGCTCATTAAAGACTGACTAAAATTGCATGAAAGCAGCAGCCCTTCCACACCTGAAGAATTCTCAACAGTAGCAGCTGGCAAACAAATGTCTAGCTCATCTGCGGTGTTACTTTTCAGCTGAGGAAAACTGTTACAAATCCACAACTTTCCTTCGGTGTTCCACAGATTTGGGATTTTCAGATGGGGTTCCAGGTGGAGTGACACTTCTTACTGCTTTACAACATATCCCGCAAAAGAAACGGTCAGTCACTCTTCAGCCTTCTCTACCTGAGCAGATTTTACTGACTTTACCTTAAATAGTGTCGGCTTAAAAAAGGCAGATCGTAGCCTTCTAAGATGCCAGGCCACCAGCGCCAGCCCTGGGAGTTGTCCGTTACCTCTGCTGTACAAGGGAAGTTAGATACACCCCAGTTTAGAGCAGTTTCTAAAGGCTCTTTACAACTGTGGCTATTTTCCAGCACTCTTTCAACATTTCCACGGAAAAAAAACAACAACAACTCAGGTTTATCTCCAGTTATTCAAAGTTAACTGAATGTCATATATGAAACATCTCTTCAGACAAATCTTCTATATTATCACATGTATGCTGTGCCTTTTATCCTGTAGAGTGGAATAAACTTTCTCAGTTTCTCATTGCACGTCACCTGGGTTAAATGAGTTTACTTTAAACTGCCGTTCGACTCGAAGGATTTACGATTCAAAAGTTTAGGTTTTCCAAGCAGGGTCTCTTTAACATTACAGATACAACTTGTAAAACAACCCGTTATTGCCACAACTGATAAGGCATCGTGGATTCGGTTGCCTTTTTCTTTACTAGCAGGAGTCATACCTAACAAGCTACAACTACAAAACATCTGACGCCTGCTTGTTTCGTTATTCGGTGTGCAAGAGCGTTACGTGGTATCCAGGTGTGACGGACAGTAGCCTCTGGTGTTAAAATAAAATTAAAGGAAGCGTGACGCCCCCTTCCATCTATTTCAGACATGGTGACACGTCGAAATCACGATCACAGGTCCGCCGATCTCTGCCCCCCCCCAAATCACACACCTCATAAGACATGCTTCCACTGCCCCGAACCGCTATGAACTGTGCAGAAATTGGCGATATACAGCCCGAAGAGGGAAGGAAAAAGTATTTTAAATGGCGTGTTGAAAGTTACCAGCAAGCGGGGAAACTCCTATCAAACACCTTCACGGCCATCAGAGGAGGCAGGAATAATTAGGCTAACTAGGGCACTTAATACAGTACGTCCTAACTCAACCCAACAAAGACAAGCCGGGCAGGAGCCTGGAAAAATCAAACGGTAAACCGATTATGTATATCCACACCACAATAAAATAAAACCTCCCATCAGAAAGAAATGACAAGATTACTCAGAATTACGAATAAAATTAATTGGGATACTTATGGGGGGTGAATCAGAAACTGGTCTATAATAAGAAGAAGAAAAATTAAAAGATCAGTGATCGATGCCTCGTACTTCCACAGAGAGAGAGAGGCTGTGTGGCTGGGCTGCGGTGAATTATTTTCCCAAATAAATAATTAAGGATTTCAATGGAGGGCATGGAGGTCTAACTCAGATTATTCATTAAAAAACAAACAAACACAGGTGACGGCGTTACGCCTAACACAACACGGGTGACAAATGTAACGTACCTGCGAGACGTTAATATTAGGGGGCCGATCCTGCTAGTAGTGCTGGCTGATAAGATATTAGTAGGAGATGTACTTAGGCCTCAGCACTTAGCTCAGGTCTCGTCACCGTCCTTATCGCAACTTTAGCCCCGATACGCAGAGGGCAACGGCTGAAATATGTTATTTTGTGTGCGGCAGAGCCCTAACCACGAAGATACTTACAATCTAAATGTTTCTTTTTCGGTCCCATGATTTCGTGCGTGGTCGCCTTGCACACAGTTTTCGAGACTGCAGACCCGGTAACACTGTGTTGAGCTGCAGTTATCCTATCCGTTATGCTCTGCCCAGACATCTTCGCTTCTCTGTACAAGGAATGAAAAACAGGATAGATCTTCCCGATATTTTAAAGAGAATCGGTATGTTCGGATATCCTCCGGGGGCTTCCACGGTTCCACCACCTGACACAGAAAGGAAAAGAAAAAAAAAAAGAGACAAAAACCGTCCGTACTCGGGAGAAAAACCAGTAGGAAAAACAATATTGTTATATCCACTGTTTGGTCCAAGAAGCCCCAGTATAAATGCCAAAGATCACTGGACGTCGGGCTGCAGGCAGATAAAAAAAAACAGTGCTTCTTTTTTTCTTAAGGGTCCTCGTTTCTCTTACTCCCTCAACCTATTACCACACACACACACTCTCTCTCTCGCACTCACTCTCTCTTCCCCCCCACCTCTCTCTCTCTCTCTCTCACCCTCTGTGTCTCTCTCCTCTTTTTCGCCTCCCCCTGCTGGGTTTAAATGGACCGGAGGCTTGCAGGAAAATGGCGGGTCCGTTTCCTTCTCTTGCTGGAGCCTCCCAAGGTATTGTGTAGTTCGGAAACTGACTCCATTGTGGCTCCTGCGTGTTTTCGACAACGCCTGGGCAAGAATCGAGTTTGTAGAGCCAACATGGCGACAAGCGAACAGTAGTTTCCCTGCTCCCGTCTTCGGTCTGTACACCAGCAGGGATGGTTTCAATTCACGTGACATGTCACACGTTCCATAGTGCTCTATTTCGGCAGAAAGTATTGTTAGCAGTGTAATCAAAGGGTGGCTCTCTGTCTGTCTTTGCTTCCGTCGTTCAAATAAGCAGACTGATCTCACTTACTTACCCATGCATGCTCCCTTTTAGTAACTTTAGTCTTGAAGGTAATTTGTGCATTGGAGAAAAATACCACTGATGAAGTTTCATTCCATAAACCAACTCTTAAGGTAGGCTTTATAACATAACATCACTTTATTAGCCCTATACAATTTCTTGCATTAGGAATTCATCTTTTCACATACCCCAGCTTGCTCTCCATGAGAGACAGACACACAGACAGGGAGAGAAGCCTGGGGTAACAGCACAGGGTCAGCTATTGTACAGCACCCCTGGAGCAGTTGGGGTTAAGGGCCTTGCTCAGGGGCCCAACGGAGTAGGATTCCTCTGCCAGCTGCAGGATTTGAACCAGCAACCTTCCAGCCACAGGCACAGATCCTTAGCCACAGAACCACTGCTCTGCCCCTTATAGCAGAAGAGATCATTTTACCATTTGACTCGCGTACCTCAATGTTAAATTCCACCCTAGAACAGAAAAGTCTTTTGGCATTCTTTTCATCTCGGGAATGTATCAGTCAAGTGGATCAGATCAAATGGCACACCGACACGTTTAGTAAACAGCGGAACCATTTTACACCAGGGTGTTGTCATTTGTCAATAAATGCTTCTTCCAAGTTTCATTAGCAGTGCGAGTTACCTCACAGTGCATCCAGTCTGATTGCATTCACGTATGCCTGCGATGTACAGGATGCCAGACAATGGAAAGTAACCTAATTAATTAGCTACAGGACTCTGAACTCCACTCTCTGTTGTGAGCCTAACCAATACCATATGAAATTGTGTTTGTAAATAAAACAATGTTTGAAGAATTGATGCGGAACTGAGCAGGTTTTCCATTGGCTCTGCCCTGGGAACTTCTTAAACAATCAGAGGGGCATATGCACAAGCAAACTAAAGAGGCTTCAGTTGAGCTCAGCTGGCATTCATGCTGGGAGTAAAAGGGATCTTTCACTGTAAAAACACGAAGTCTGCTTAAAAAAAAAAAGAAGATAATGAGCTCTCCAAAGCGCGCACGTAATGTTTGTGCATAGTAATAAAGATCATCTTTGCATATGTGATGCGTATAGTTCTTCCCCTGCTGGGATTCAGTCACTCAAGAACTATACATTACCGTTCTTCTGACAGAGGAGAGTTGCACTCCAGGGTGACGTAACACTCTGTAACACGCTTATCTTTGTTTGTGTGCTACTTTATCCTCCTCTGATGTTGTGCACCCACCTATTGGGTATAAGATAGCCATTCTCTGCCTGTTCACTACCCTTTAGATCAGGCAGGTAGAGTTTGTTCTCCATCAACAGAATTTGAGGAGAAATTTGATTTAGGCAGGACTCCAGGGTTAAGTCCCCTGCTCTTACAGTGTCATGGGGTCTTCAATGACCACAAGGATTAACACCTCATTCAAATGATTGCACCAGTGTTCTCTAACACCATTCTGGCACATTCATTTGGGGATTCTTGTAAGGAGGTCCGAGGGGACACCTAACACTATACTAACAGCATCAACCTGACTCCCAAAGCAGTGCTGAACAGGTCCACTCAGCTGAATATAATCAGGTTTATGCTAAATGAGCCAGCCTTCCATCTAGGGAGTGCTTGAATCCACGTAACACTACAGAAAATGGGATATGCTCCAGCCAGATGAGCCATGAAGCTTAAATATGGAACTCCAAACTATAATGGGAAAACTGTTGGACTTTCCCATCCACTAAAAATTGTATGTTGACTGCCTATTCTTTGTGGTTTTAATTATAATGCATTTAATCTTTAACACAGTGACTATATTCATGTGAAGACAGTCCCATACTATGCAAACATGTACCCAATTTAGATAATTTTACACAAGGGTTCAGGATCATCACAGGCATCAACATTTTTATTTACAGTGCTTACATTACTAATGTAATGCATGGCCATCTTGTGGCAAGATCTAGGAATCACATCTAAAGGCTGTTGTGAAATGTTTGATCACACCACATGAGCAATTTAAACAGAACTATAGACTTGTTTTAAGTTCTGTAGAGGTCCAATAAAAATATTTTTTTTCAATTTAAAAGATTCATCATTAATTGCATGAATTATTCATTTTCTGGAAGAAATCACAAGTTCAATACTATTCAAAAAATAATTTAAAAGCAAAAGTAATGTAATGTACATTTTCTTCTATCATATGGCCATATACATTTTCTTCATTTATCTTTAGAAATGCTTCAAAACGTTTAGAGCACTCCTTCCTAATAATGAAATTCAGTGGTTTAATTTAGTAAAAGTAAAAGTAATATTTGCTATTAAACAATGTCCTTCAAATGCTTTTTGTTTACTTTGTGTACAAATTGAAAATAATTAAATCAGGGATTAATGACACATCATAATTCTTTAGATTGAAGAAATCTCTTAAAAGGATAAAGAATGTAATTTCGTATTTGCATATAATTTCGTTTTTGTCTTAACTTAATTGTTTCAATGAACAACTGTTTGTGCTGCAAAACATGATTGAAGAATAGGAATGTCTTTTATGGGTGTCCTGTGTGAAAAAAAGTAACTACAAATACAGCAAATCTACAGAATAGTAAATTCCACAGCTGTGCCTGTGCCTGTAAGATTTTATATTTATAACCTACCAATACACTTCAAACCAATATGACTGTAAATGCTAAAGCATGTCAATAAATTTGATTTCTAATGAAAGGTAGAAGATTCCCAGTCCTTAACTACTTCACTATGATGACCAAAATCCTTTGAGGTTCAAAAAAATATTTTGAAAATCACAAAACTAGAGTATTTTTTTTATTATGTATATTTATTTGTATCTTATTTTTTAATGTTTGTCAGATACCATAAGACTCTAACTTAGCTTACATGTTTCTCTGGTTGGCTTCAAGATCATATAGTCTCTGTGGACTCGATTTATTGATTCATTTCCCTATAGGTCATCTAGTAAAGAGTGGTATAAAGTTGGTGACTTACCTAGTTTGGATAAAAAATTATAACAACAAAAATATAAAATATCTACATATTATTTTAATAAAAAATAAATGATGCATCCAAGCAGATGAGGTATTGATCAAACAACAAAATATGTCAACACTTATTCTAAACTAATTTGGAATAAGCCGGTTATTCTATATGACAGGTACAGTAGTTGCAAATAGCTGAGTAGCTAAACTAAATAATAGGACCAAGGCATTTTCTATGAATCAAACAGTATTTTAAGAGTTTAAGTTGACTCCAATGTCATTAGAGATATTCAAGAGAATCAAAAAGTTCAAGCACTTTGCAGTACAGCTTGCTTAGATCATTTATACATGTCCTGGTCTTCATATTGTAATTACTGTCATGATTACATTAGCATTGTGAAATGGGAGGCTCAGTCTTCACTGTGTCTCTACTTCAAATGAAACCATTTTGAAGTATGTGGATGACCGCAATTAAACAGGGGACAGTAATATTTGGTTGCAACTACTAACGGTAATACACTCATTATATTGTTTTATTATATTGCCACTAACATTCAATAATATTATTTCTTTAAATCAAGACGTAACCTACTGTATTCCATGTGGCTCAGCATTGTGTCCCTGCTCACTAGAGGGCATTGTAGCACTGCCTGAGTAACTGCTTCAGCACACCTTCAGCAAGTGAAATAAAATGCACCACAGGATAAGGAATAACAGACTCAACCAAAGCCTGAAATTAAGATACAAAGCCAAGACCAGCAACATAATATGTTATTTGCCACACAAGCTATGTCTACGTTTTTTTTTCTAAAATTCAATTTGTTCTTAAAAAATTTCTTTACATGTCAGTCATATTTCTGCCTACTACAAATGTTTTCTAGAATGCGTTGGTATCAAGACTGCCGAATCTGCATAGCATTATCAGAAGAAACATTTCAGGAAGCCATAAGAAAGTCTAAGAACTTTGTCTGTTTTATGGTTTGTTAATGAATTGTATGTTGCAGTGATCTGGTAGGGGAGAGAAGTGTACAAGCAGTAAATTAGGGAAAAAGGGAGAAATGTCGGAAATTGTGTTCAAATACTGTTAGAACATAAGAACATCAGCAAAAAAAAAAAAGAAGAGGCAATTCTGTCCATATAGCTAATTTGGTTTTAAATATTCATTTGATCTGAGTATCTCATCCAGCTGTTTTTTGAAAGATGCCAGGGTATCAGCTTTAAGAACATGTTTGGGTAGCTTACTAGATACAGTACATTGCTGGGTATCTCAATGCAATCGATTTTGAAAACAGAAGGGGAAATGTCAAATATGGATTGGAATTATTCCACACCACTGCAAAAAAAAAACCAAAACAGAGTAATTATCTTCCGGAAAATCATCAGGTCATACCCTGAAGGAAAAGAGATAATTTAGTATTTATGTCAACACACACAAGCAGAAGAGCCTAGAAACCAAATATTTGATCATCTCTCCTTGTGTTTTAATGAGCAGAGACACTTGAACACCTTTAATTTCAATACTCATGAAGTACTTAATATGGTCAGTTATGAAATTACTCCGCTTTTAATTAATTTTACAGCACTTACAGTACCATTTGTATATTTTTCAGAGCATCAATTTCATGCCCAAATTAAATTAATCCCCGTGTGTGTCCCCATTCCTTAATGGACGTTTCCAAGCTGTTTTGTCCCATTACAATATTTCTCTAGGGCAACAATACTGAAGCACATATATGTACAGGGGGTTCCATGGAAGTAAATTAGAAAGTGGAATCAGTGACCCTCCTTGCTGATAAGGGAGTAATACACCATTTCTTGCAAAATCTTAAAAATACAAACATGAGGAATAGGAAGCACATAGTCAGAAACACACCCATTGCAATGCTGCCAGCTCTGTCACCTAAATGGTTCTGTGTCTGCGCCTTTCCTGTCCTGCTGTATTCCAATCCCTTACTGTAATTCTCTAATTCTGCTGTCTCCTCTCAGCGTGTGCTTGTTTTTCCTACTGTTAAGCGCTCTGAGAAGCCACTGTTAAAGGTGCTATATATAATGAAGTTTATTTTTATTATTCCCTAAGCTACAGTGTTCATCTTCTAGTGTTGCTCTCACTAAACAGCCGGACCACAACACCAGGGAAACAAAACAAAAGCAAACAAATAGTAACCACTAAGAACACACCACAGAGCCAATAAACCTGTCCAGTCCATACTTATCCCAGTAGCCCTAGAAAAGAGGGGGGTCGGTATAATTACAGTCTGGTCCCTTTCAGTGGTCCTGTCAGTGAAATAAGCAACCCAGAAGCCTGCAGACGCCACTGTACTAAGTCACAGTACAGATTAGCAACTGTGCTGATCTCTGACACTTTAAAGCAGAATGCAACCTAACTGATTCAGTCTAATGTGTGCATCAATTCTGAATAACATATTTTCTGAATTAAAGTCTAGTGTTTCATGTATAAACAATAGGGGTCTTGTTGCTTCCCCACTAGGGAGATAGCTTAGTTCTGGAAGGGCTTTTCTGTCTGGTATGTTACACAAAGGAACTTCTTTAACATGATGGTCTGACCCACATTATTAAGTATACATCTGTTCAAACCTCATTCAATATAAAACAAAATCTCAAAAATGCACAGCTAGTACTTTGTGTATGACATATGACATATAAATGTTCTTTTCTGGTCTTATATTTTTTATTTTTTGGTAGAGTCGCATTATAAAATGTCCATAATTAAATATATCTTTATATTTTAATATTCAGACATTTACATTTGGCAAATTTTCATAAACCTTTCAATCTGAAACTGAATGTAGTGTTTAACTGTGACAGATCTGGTTCTGTGAGTAACAATGATTGTCGGTCTGAAGGATCTCATTCAGGTCTTTTAGCAAACTCTATCTGTAAAGTGCTGAGAAGGCATGTTTGGTCGTTTTCTCTTCCCCTCTCTTCCATCTTTGTGATTTTTTTCAAGGAACACATTCGTGATATCATTTGTATCAGTTTACAGGGTCTCATGAGTTCTTTGAAACAGAATCAGGATCTCATTATCCTCAGCAAATGGCAAAGCAGTAAGCTGGGGTTGATTGTTTGTGAAAATGTATACATAAAAAGGCTATTAGTGATAGTTTTATATATCTCCTACTGCATATTAAACCAACAGTCCTGAAATTTTTCTGCAGTTATCATTTATTGGTTTCTATTCCTTGGTATTTTCATTATAATGTGCCTCAAAAAACCTATTGTGTTTTCCGTGGAAGTAAACTATTGCGTCTTTAACGTGTATTTTGAGTTTGTCATTTCAAGTTTTTAACTTTCTTCATTGGTCTTCCTACCTATTATTTCTAACCATCAAATTTACTTTTTTTTTTCTAAAAATAGTTGCTTGTTCTTATTAGCGCACTGTGCTATGAGACAACAATTTAAATATAAAACTTTTTCCTCTAAGTGGAGATTCTTTCTATTGTTTTTTATTCAAATGAAAAGTATACTGATCATCAACAGAAATGTCAGTTAAAAATGCAACAATTTCACTAAACAGTTACTTTAAGGAGCATTTCTTCATAACTGAATCCCACGAGCATTTCACAAGCTAACCAAAAAAACTTGTCACGAAATGTTTCAAAATGTATTTTTAAAAACTTGGATATGACGCTTTAGTAATTGGGTATTTTATATCATACCCACTGCTTGCACGTAAGGCAAGCATTGACATTTAATTCATTATCGTTAGGAACAAAAGGGAAGAGGAATGCCCTTTCATTCATAAAAAGGAAAGTGATTACCCACAACCTATTTAATATCAGATGACGATATTTTTCTGGAGACTCTGAGTCTGTATCGATTTCATCTTAGATAAAAGATGATCAGGCCTTTTTTGTTAAGGAGAAACATTACCCGAATATAAGCATGGTCATTACAATATCAATTTAAGTTTCAGTAAGTTTTATAATCCAGCCCTGGCATATTTTCATTCTTCTTGACCCTGTTGGTGTCAATTGAAAATCTGAATTTGATTAAATAGGACAAAATACTTCTTGACCAACATTAAGAACTGAAGCAGGACACACCCAAGATAATATTAGAACAGAGAGTATTGTCAGGCAGAGTAAGAGATGATCTTTCTTGCCTGAAAAATTAACATTTAAGTGGCATCTTTAAATCATCGACAATTTTTTTTTCCAAACTGTTTTCCTAAACTTTAAATCGCTGACACAATTATGTAAACTAATCCGAAACACACATGAAGATCTGCAAGGAGCACATGAGAATGAAAGGAAACCCCCCTGAATGTGATGCAGGCCACACTGCTCCCACTCTTGCTTTTCCCTGTACCATAATGTGAAGTTGTAGACCACTGCATAATTGCACATCAACATTAGAAGATTAATCAAGTGAAAACAAAAAAAAAACACAATATGCTCTAGTACTGTAATCTAGAGGTGGTTATTAGGTTAATTTAATTAAGGTACTATTCTCTCCTCAGGTATTAACAACAGTTTGCCCAAAACCATATAATGCTTGATTCACACGTTGTAGCATATTTACTGCAGTATTTACTGCGTGATTATGTTGGTAGAGTGTGACCATGCCATTTGCAGGCCCTGAAACTGGGAGCAATCAATCTCACAATGATGTACGCAGCAAGAAAGGAAGATCCTGCAAAACACCATTGACCATTTAGCTTTGACTTCTACAGCCCCAGTCCATCTGATAACCATATATTGATGGGAGGAAAAGGGACTTTAGAAAACAAAACACTGGCATTCATTGTTGTTCTGTTTTCTAGCATGGATGCTGTAGGAATTTGCTTTGTGCAAGTATTTATTTTCTTAGTGCAAAGTATTGAAAAAGTGTAGAATGGCTACGCTGTAGCATTTTCATTATCATTATCATTCTTATTTTCATTCTCCATGTATATGGATTGTTTGGTAGTGTTTTTCATCCTGTTTTTTTTTGCTCTCATCTTATTTTCAGGCGGTGTATTTCCACATTTATCTTTACCAGGTTTTTGTTTTGAAGTACAGTTATGGGATGAGAACAGGACATGAAGGCCCAGACTGTATATTTTTCAGTGCTCGGTACACATCAACAATACAACCTATTTTTGCTGGTTTATAAAAGAGGTAAGGAAGCATGGTGGCGCAGTGGTTGGCATTCCTGTCTTGGAGCATGTGGATTCAATTCCTGGGGTGCTATCTGTGTAGGGTTTGTATGTTTTCCAGTTTTTCTGCATGTCCAGTTTTCCTCCCATAGTCTAAAGACTTTCTGGTAGGTTAATTGGCTTTTGGGAAAATTGGCCCTGGTGTGAATGTGAGTATTGCTGTGTGTGTATGTGCCCTGCAATGGACTGGTGTACAGGATTTATCCTGCCCAGTTCCCATTGCTTGGTAGGTGCTGACTTATCTGTGGCCCTGTTTTAGATAAAGAGGTTAGAAAATGGGTGGGTAGGTTATACAGCTCTTGAAGATAATTAGATTCATTTCACTGTATATTTCCTAAGAAACAACTCCAAAGAAACATATATATGCAACCTTATAATTTGAATTTTGGTACCAGCTGAGAAAGTCAATGGCATTATCTGTCAGAAATGTATGTACTTCAAATTAGTTCGCTTTGCGGGAAACAGCAGTACGATCCACCCTGAGTCAGAGAAGAGTTCTGTGAGTTCTTAGCCACAGGCAGAGGGCAAATGAAATGTGCTGATGGGGCTATTGGACACCAAGCGTCAAAAGCACTCAAACAAACCTCAGCGCAGATTAGCTCCAAAAAGCAAAAGAATGCCTGCTTCATTCACCGGACCAGCTCACTCCAACAGCCGATGAAAAGATAATTCCCCGAAATTGACCTCTTGCAGCGTCAAACCGTTTGTGTGTGATGACAGAGGAAAATCAAACAGAAAGGATATGAGTGGGAAACTGCAAAACCTCCTCATGTTTCTGGGCCTGTGAAAAGATTTGTATAATACATTGAAGTTTGATGGACTTTCCCATGTTCTCCCAGACAACCCTTTTTTGTTGAAGTGTTCAAATAATGACTCCTTATGTTTTCTTCCTGGGACCCATGTTTCTTGTTGTTTGTAGGTCTGCAGCGCTGACCATTCGATCACATGCAGGAGCCCAAAGCACATGGAGAACCGCTGAATAGCCGTCTACCAGGGTACAGGGTAAGTGAAAGCGTTTACAGGTTTTTTTCCTGGCTGCTGGCAGGGCTGCCTCAACTGATTTAGTCGCAAAAACTGATCTTAAAGTCACTGTGTTAGCCAATGCCATCCATCTTACCTAATTGTTTCCCAGCTCCAAGCTGGCTTATCAGATGGTGATAAGGGATTTGGGAAATAAAGGAGCTTTTGGATGGCAAACAAAGCAAAAACTGACAACCAATTTGTTTTAAAATAAAAAAAAAAGCGTTATTGATGATGTGCTTGACATCTATTATTTAGGATAATACTTAATGCCAAGCCAAAGAAGCAAACAGAGCAGGGAAAAACGACAGGACCCATGTTTCATTCTTTTATTAATATTCTGGCTCACATTTCTGTTCTTCTCCTAAAATACAGCGCCTGTCTCAGCTTCGGGAAAACTGAAGGCATAAATGAAATAAAAATGGAATACACGCAACCAAATTCAGAAGAATTTAGTTTCCTAAGCAAACCAAAGGTTTTCAGACAGAAATCGGCAGCATGTCACAAAATTAGTTTGAAATTTTCTCAGTGTGAACCAGCAGCTATGAAGATGCTTACACGATGGTACTGCCATTCCTTATCTTCGTTTACCTCAGCACTCTGAAATATTTCTTGAATCCTGAACTGCACATGGATGAAACATACCTATGAAAAAGAAACACTAATGTCTTCTTTTCCTTTAGGTGCTGCAATGGAACAAATATGTTTGGTTATCCTTCTTATAGGTAAGGCTCTTTCAGTCGGTGCACAGTTCAATGGGTACAACTGCGATGCCAACCACCACAGTCGCTTTCCTGGTAAGGCAAACAAAACGTCTTCTCTTTTCTGATATTTTAAGTATTATTTTTATTCCTTTTTGGGTCGATCAGTTTGTAGCAGAATACAGAAAACGCTAATCGTATGAATTAATTGGTGGCTATCAATCTGTCTTCTGTTCTAACCGTATGTGAGTCAGATAACTTTCAAGACAAGAAAACTTGGTGAAGAGAAAACTATTTTTTAATATCTTATGAACAGCTGTATTAAATATCCCAGGGAGTGAATTGACACAAAACAGAAAACGACACAGCATCCACAGAGACATAAAGCTTTCTATCCGCAATTTTAGCAAAAATTGATTGCCGAAGCATTAACCGATTTCTCCCGTCTTCAGCTGAGCGGGATATTAGTGTGTATTGCGGGGTGCAGACGATCACCCTGAAGATTAACTTTTGCCCAGTGCTCTTCTCTGGGTACACTGATGCCGACCTGGCCCTCAATGGTCGCCACGGAGATGCCCACTGCCGGGGCTTTATCAACAACAACACCTTCCCCACAGTGGTTCTCTTCACCATCAGCCTGAACACTCTGGAATCCTGTGACAACTCTCTGGTGGTAAGAGCTGCACGGCAACCAGGTTTCGGCCTGTGCACATGCAGCACACTAAAGACGGAAAGAATAAGAGTTCAGTGCAGACTGTTTTACGACATCCGTGGCACGCGTGCAGGGGCGACGCTGTCCATTCTTATTGACCATTCCCCGTAAGAGCGAAACGGCATTTTGCGATCATTTAGGAGAAAGTACGGGAAAGACGCCATTTCTTTTGTTCGCTTTTAATATCAGCAGACTTTTAAAGGTGGGCGGAAAAGCCGGTTGCTGTAAAAGGAAATGCTGTTAAATATGAGGGCCTCTTTCTTTAGGTTCTGTTCTGGCGTCAGTCAGGGAATATGTGTCCCTGATGTACATTGTCGTGACCAACTATTAAAGGATTAGGATGGGAATCACTGGGGTGGGTGAGTTTAATGGGATAATTTGCTGGAAGATTTTATTCTGTCTGTCAATGGCTGTTAGTGTGAGTGTGAGTCAGCACAGTTGCAGAATAGCATAGTTACAGAGTGGGGCTTCAGGATATTTTTGCAATTTTCTTGCAGGTTTCCTCAGCCCAGGGCATGAATGCCTTTGGAAATCTGTCCTTGGTGCAAATTGGGAATATATCAGGATATATTGACACCCCCGATCCACCAACAATTATCAGTTACCTGCCTGGACTGCTGTACAAATTCAGCTGCAGCTATCCTTTGGAGTATCTGGTCAACAACACTCAACTAGCTTCGTAAGTCTGTTCTGCTGAAAATTCAAGAAATTTCCAAAACTACAATTGGCCTTTCTACCTGTGAGACCAAATGCGATGCCCATTGTTCTTTCTTTTTATTTATAATCCACAGACGCATCACAGAAAACCAAAATTAAGGTTTAAATTGAAATATTAAAAATAAAAAATCAGAAGCTAAAAAAGGAACACTTTCATCTAAAACTGGAGGATAATGTATAAAAGTATAGATTGTCTTATGTTATTGAGATATACTTGAGGCTTTTATTTCTTAAATTGAATTTATTCTTTTTTTCAAAGAAGAGTTAAAATAAGTTAATCTTAGTATGGTATTGGATGGTACAATGATGTACTGTGTAATTTTCCAGAAACCAGATAGCCAAGCATACAGGCATATAGCAATTATTAGAGAATTGTTAAAATGGTCAAATTGAAAATGAACATTTTTACAAGAATAACCACAAAGCAGAAGGTTTATTCAACATTTTTCATTTTTATTTTTTTATTTCTTTCCTATATTAAATATTTATAGTGAAGTTTAAACTGTAAATTAAAGTTTAACAGTCCATAAAATTGATGATTCTTCTTATCTGTTTTTGTTGTAATTAATAATTTGTCCTACCTGTTTGAATATCTATGACTGAAAATAGGTCTAAAGTAAATTAATATTAGTTTTTTTTTTCCCAAACTGAACATTTTAAGATAATATTTTAAGATTTAAAATTAGGGTATTTTTTTAACAGGTCATCTGCTGCTATATCTGTGAAGGAAAACAATGGTACTTTTCTAAGCACCTTGAATTTACTCCTGTACAATGTAAGTGAATAATTTATTAGTATTAAAATGCATCAGTTTCTGTTGTTAAGGCTAGCCATTATAATTCACAATTAGATCAATTATCATTTTCGCAGTACATATTAAAAAGCTAAGCACAGCATATGAAAATGTTGAAAGCATCTGACAGACTATTTTGTAATACATCTGTGAAGCACATTGGAGAGATGAAATGCAAATTTCCACTGAAGAAAACAGCAGCTCGTGGTTAAATTCTCTTACAAGAAATCTCTGAAGCTGAATTTTATAAAATCTTTTCTGGTTTTAAAATAAAACACATTTGATCAGAAAAAACCCTTATGAATGAAACATTAAAAATACATCTACTGTATGTTCTAAGTGTATAAAAAATCAATATAAATGAGAAACTATTGGATCACAAAAAACAGCCTGAGCTAAAAGAAATACAAGTCTTAAATAAACGTGTGCAAAATGCCAATATCTTACGATGGAAAGAAGCCATTGTTTAAAATATGTAGGTATGCGAAAATAAATACAAATGAAATTAATATCTTAAAATTGCAGAAAAAAATATTTGTCCTCAATGTTCAATCTTGGTTGTATTTTGTTTCCAGGACTCAACGTACGCACAACAGCTCTCCATACCAATGGCCGGGTTGACACTAAAGACTAAGGTGTTTGCAGCAGTGAAAGCCACCAATCTCGACAGGAGGTAACAGTGTACATCATCAGTAAAAAATACTAGTTCAGTGTCATATTTTTTTCCAACGTGGTTTTTATTTGTAAGATTATTTATGCCATTTGTATGCAATACAGTACTTTTTTGCTCTTGTGTTGCTTGTTTAAATTAAGGTTACAGCTATATCTCACAATTTTAAGAAAGTTATAGAGGCTGTTCATTCTCTTTGCTCTCCAAGTGCAGAATGAACAGAAATACCTGGGTACTCTGTTTCTGAGAACCAGCAAACTGTTTTTAAAAACATGAAGGCGGTACTGCACTTCACATAATGTAAGAGACAGGCATCTCTTAAAAATTAAAACTGCCGCGATTTGCTCTAGATTGTACACATATCGTTTTCATATCAGCCATTCTTCCTTCACTTTGCAACTGCCCTCTTGTATTTTATGACACATTTCAATGCTGCTGCATTAAAGACCAATGTTATTTTTCTGTGTCCGTAACCTCAGAATATCCCAAAACAGAAAAGCTTCTCATGTTTTTAAATAGTTCTACCACAAGGGAAACAGCTGTGCGACAGTCCCTAATATAGCAAGCATGGTCTGTTTTGCCATTAAACTCTGCCTTATCCAATCCATTATGATACAGTGGCACCAGATGTCTCTTTCCACACAATCTAGCTACTATCCTCTCTGGACTGACTCTGACTGCCAAATGCAACAAAAAGCATTATAAAAGCCCATATCCCAAAAGAGTCAGTACATAACCAAGCAAAATCCTAGTGACAGCTTTAAGTATTGTGCAATTTTATTCCATTCCTATCCTGGCATGAGGCTCTAGTGCCTAAATGAGCCCAAAACTGCAGGTCCACTAAGAACTCTATTGTTTCTGGCAAAAAAAAGTTAATCCTATAATTATTTCAATCACTCAACAGATGGAATGTTATGATGGACTACTGTTATACAACTCCTTCTGGAAATCCCAGTGATGAACTTCGATATGACCTTTTCTTTAGGTAATTAAACATCTATATATAACAGAATTCTTTTTTATGCCTAAATTGTCAAGGAAATGAGAGTGGTACTCTGTCAGTGTAACTAATGCTAACTAGCAGATTGTTAATGACGCATTAACTTTTTACGTGTGTAGAAGCGGCACTCATAAGTGTAAATCATACTAAGAGCAGGGTATTGTACTTTGTGTGTGTTTGAGAACAGTAGTCACCAGATTTTCTATTTCTCTTCTTTTCCCTTGAAATAGTTGTGACAAAGACCCGCAAACGACGGTTATTGAAAATGGTAAAAGTCAAATGGGCCGTTTTTCCTTTGAAGTGTTCCGATTTGTCAAGCACAAAAACCAGAAAATGTCAACGGTGTTTCTGCATTGTGTCACCAAGCTCTGCAAGGCAGATGACTGCCCTTTACTCATGCCAGTAAGAAACTAAAAACACAGGTTTTAATAGTATAAATCATCTTTAATAATAATAATAATCATTTGCATTCTTGTTGTTAAACTATTAATCAGAAGCCATCACCATTATGTCACTATTATTCATTTGTTGACAAGTGACTTCATCATACTTATTTTATGAACCAGGGATCTTACATCACATGTCTTTTGATTTCTGTGTGATACAGTTTTATACCATAGATTCAAAATGCAAATAAGCACCCCCAAATCTTTCTTTACTTCTTTTTATATGGTACATGATTTAATGTGATTCTTTCATTTTCACATCACACCTTGATAACAGATCTGCGGCAGCAGAAAGAAACGAGATCTTTCGGAGAAGGTGACCCCCAAACCTCAGAGCACCTCTGGAAACGCAGTCATCACAGCTGGTCCAATTATCACCAGAAGTGGTATGTGCATCCTCCGCCTGAAGAGTGCTGTTCAGATGGCACAGTTTTGTTGAGATCCTAAAGTGATAACTTTCATCAACAAGGTCTAAAAGAGCTGGTTCTTTTTGCATATGTTTCAGCCCCATTACCTTTCTTCCGCACATTAGGATTCAAGGTGCTGTTGGTTCTAGTGAGCCATTTAGAAAGAAAAGAATAAAGTGTGGCTCTCATTATAGCTGGATGATTCCCTGCGGAACACATTATGGGACATTCACATCTGTGCAATATAAAATGCTTTGGGAACGATAATAGAACTGGGGAACTTTCTGTATCGCTATTTTAATACCTGGGAGAGCCAGAACTCGGGGAGCTCAACCACATTTGCATGAGAGGTCACACCTCCCATGAGGGCTCGTTTGGGCCAGTTGGCCCAGCCACCTGTCCCCACTTAACGGGTAATCATCCCATTTAGCCCAGGATATTAAAACCCTGTCCAGTGCTCTGTCATTGAGCTTCCTTTTGTTAGGGAAGTGTTTGCAGCACAACTAGTCCGCTACAGAGAAGGATAACCTGCCTGATCTCTCTCAGCCTTTTTCCAAACTGCGCTGCGATCCAGCTCCCCATCTGTCATTTATCACCACTTTAGCCCAGCATTGTGCCGAACGCCCTCTTTCCAGCTTGCCCCGTTAGCTGCCCTTAGTCTCTGATCAGTCCAGCTGCTAAGTGCATACAGTATCTTGCTCGTCAGTCTACACCCGCCTTTGCTGTACTGATTCTGTTGGGCCATCTCCGCCAGCTCTCATATCTCCTTGTGCCTTCATTCGGATCAAGCAATTGGATTCCACAGCCTGCCCCGCAGACATGACTTTTTCCATTTTACCGCTGCATCATAACAACTGTATGTCGATTCCACCTGTAATACTAGAACTGTTGTTTTACAAATGCATGGACAAACAGTTTTAATAAGGAACAGGTAACTGGAAAATCCTCATCTCTCAGATATAGAGGGTATAGATAGAGTGAAAATTCCCTTATTGTGCATTTCTGAATTCTGAATGTGTTAAAATTCTTTCAAAGTCTATGAATGCCTGTCAAAAGCAAATCATTAATGATTTTAATGATAATTTAAGTTCATCCTCTTTTACAGATGAAACTCCAACCAACAACTCACAGCTAGGTAAGCCATTGTGTTGTGTGTTGGGAAGAGCATCACAAAATTAACAACACAATATCACCAGAAATTTTGTTTACATTCTTTTCAGAAGTCCTTTAGAAATCAATACTAGATCTTAACACAGTTCACCTGGGCACAGAACATAGCAATACTCAATTTACAAACTGTGAAAAAAATGCTTGGTGACAACCTTAGTCAAGTAAAATTTAATCATTGAAATTATGGAATTCCAACGTACACTGTTCGTATATGTATACAGTATAAGAGAAATCACAGAAACACCTTTATTAACTAATGTTTGTATCATAATACTTTAGTAACAATTATAGGCTTGTGAATTATGCTCTTTAGTTAACCCTCAATTTATGAGTTCTTTCTAACTTTGTTTCAGCGCAGCTAAATGGCCCGGCCTTCCAGTTGAATTCAGTGACAAGCGCTCTGATCTCTGGTGTCATTATTCTAGGAGTTATGAGCTTTTCTTTCTTCATCCTCTCCCTCACCTTGCTCAAAGGGAAGCAGCACAACTCTGCAGTGCTGTCTGGAACCAGGAACCCAGTCTTCAACTAACACTCACTTTTTGTGTTAATGTTTTTGTTTTTCTAAAACGAACTTGTTTGGGTTCGTTACAATATATTATTATAAAAAACAGAAATCATTTGTTTTGTTTTCTCAGTGTAAGTCCTGATATGATGTAATGTAGACAAGAGACCCTATTATGTGATTACAACAGCAGTGTATTGTACATCCGTGCTGTAGTTGTGAATACTGCTGTTTATTTGTTTTATCGTTTAACCCAAGGCTAGAGCAGAAGATTGTTTTATACAAATACCTTAATGTTGAAATAACAGAAAATTATTTCCTGGATCAGCAGGTAAGAAGTAAATATGTTCAATACCTCAGCTTCTTATTTTCTATTTCCATTGCAGGGTTTAGGGTCAAAGACACAACCACAGATAAATAATGTTGTAAAATGTAAATCAACTACTGTACCAATCTGTGTTTTTTTTATTGTAGGTATTGAAGATCGAATTAGATTACTTAATCTGTAAGCTTTATAGACAATCACATTAAATCTGAGGAGGTACGTGCACCATCACACACTCTTACCAACAGTGTATCAGCTTTGTTTAGGTTAAAACACCAGTAAAGACACCTCTGATCATCTTAAAGTAAATACTAAGAATAATGGCCCCTGTGTTTAGGTACTGAAAAGCTGAAGTCAACTCTTACAAATGATTACCTTAATGATCCTTCACAACTCTTCCTCAGTTAACTAAAACTTCATCTTGAAAACACTATACCCTTAAAAACATTTACAACACCTATAAGAAGTGTAGGCTTTTCTTTAAAAGATTTAGAAGAATATTGTTTTTCTTTTAACCTAATTAGCATGTTTCTTGAATTGAAGTAGAATTAAATGAGCTTGAATATGCGTCACATGAAAATAAAGTTGGGCCACATTCATTCTGGTTTTGCATTTTCAATTTTCATTGTAAATTTTATAAAGTAGTTGGTTGTCCAGCTAGTGTGCCCATCTGCACTTAGATTACCTCGTGTTGCACTAGTTGGTAATGTGCCTGTGCTGCAGTATTTTGAAATAAATGTTTTAAATAATTAAACACTGGTTTGAAGTTTTTCCTTCCAATGGTACTCCAGGGTTTTTAACCCCTGTCAAGCCATTTTTTAATTAGATATTTACCTACTGTTTTAATCCAAAGTGTCTCAAAGAAACAAGGGGATAGAACTATTACATTAACTTCTGCTGCTACAGAATCACTAAAAGCAGGACATACATTTTCCCCTTAAAGGACACAATAATGGTTTAGGAACTTGCTTAGGCGTAACACAGTGAGCCATAAGCACTCTTGTAAGATGCCTTCGCTTCTTACTATAGTAAACCTATAGATACAGTAAAACTTTCTATAGAGAATGTACAGTAGGTATTTCTATAGAAACTTTTAGGCTATTCTGATAAGGTCCTTACCTAAACTACTGTACCACCTTCCCTATATACAACTTACCTGTAAATTCACACCTGCTTGACTATCTCTGCAACTGTGTTCAAGTTCTCTACTATTTAATATCTGCCACAATCCCGAATGATAAATGTGTAATGCATTCCATTTATGCATGTCTACAGCCCAAATGCTACAGGTAACGACCTTAGATCTTTTCAAATAATAAAGAAATACAAAATACAGATTAAGGCTGTCACTATTTTTGTCTCTAGTTTATCTTTCAGTAAACGTTTTGTGTGTGTGTTCTAGAAAGTATAATTGCCTTCTAAACAGAAGAGGTCTTTGTGTGATACTGAACACAGACCAACCTGGCTTATTTAACATAATGTTTTGGGTGGAACTCAGCTGGACACAATAGGAAGTTCCTGCTTCATCTCTTTATAGAGTCCTGAGATCTGGAAGAAGATACATAATGTGACTTTTACACTCCACTTTCAGATTATTTGTGCTGCTTTCTTAGACAAAATCCCCAGAGTCCACGCCCTTTCTCCTTTGAATCAAAGCCTTTAGCAAGTATTGTATGTCACATTATTCGTACTTGGGAGACGTCAATGAATGGCATGTGAATTTAGTTTTTTTAAATAACTTATTCCTTTTTCTCAGCATTGTATTTACTGAAGTGTGAATACACTACTCATTTCATATACTTGAATTAGCAAACTGAGATTTTGTTTTACCTACAGTACACTGCAGCTTCAGGTCTTAATGTATCTGAACCCTACGTTGAAAAAAACCTGATAAAGTATGAACTACATTCTTTAAAACATTAGATCCTTGCATGATTTCAGGTCACACAAATGACTACGTTGGGAAAGCTTTCTATTAATGTTTATATTTTGTTGCATTTGTTGTTTTAAATAAATCAGAGACCACACATGGTTATTGCATCGCAATAAATTGCTGACACATTTCCCACCTTGGAATTTTCCTAAACAATATAAATGTGATGATATTTTAGACTATTTCAGAACAAAATGATTACACAGAGATTGGATAAGAACAAAGTGTCATTATATTAAAAAAGCCCTCCAAGAAAACTCAATTTGAAATAAGTGTAACAATTTTATACATTATGTACAAAGCCATCCTGTGCAAATTAATGGAAGACATTTCTAAGAGCTCCTGCAAGTACAATACCTTTATCAGATATTGGTATGTAAAGCACTTTTCTGATCGGTTAATCCATTTGTAATGTCTGTACAGTGCACAGCCTGCTTCCTCAGACACTGAGCAAAATCTCTGGACTATGAAGGGATGAGGAAGACAACCCCATGAAGCAATGTCATGAAAAGACAGAAAAAATCAAGATGTCAAATAAAGCATGGAATAAAATAGGTTTAAAAGGTCATTGCGTAAAGACCTGACAAACAAACAGCAACATAAATAGCCAACAACCAGTAACAAAAACCAATATGTTAAATGTAAATGTACCACTCACTGTCCAGATGATGCTAACTATGCAGCAGGCTCATCTTTATGAGATATCAATTACACAGTCTCACACTATAAATATCTATGTTGTTAAATGGCCATTGTTAACACACTTTTGCAAAAGCATTCACTCCGCTGACCTCTATACCCCTCTATTTCTGATGTTTCACAGTACTACGTTGGTCAAAGCTCAGGATTGTCCTTTGTTGAACCTGTTCTTAAAATACGGCGTGTGTTTAGTAAACCAAGAATGAACCCCAGGGGAATTCTTTTCTAAGAAAAAAAATATGGCATCACCAAGTTCACAGATATAATACTTATGATATAGCTGTGACGGTGTATGACTGGGGAATTCTATCTTCTGTTGCCTTAAGTGCACATTGTTAAATCATGGTACAAGTGACAGTTTTGTGTTTGTAACATAAATAATAATATGTGATGCACAGTAGCTGAGAGGGATAGAAAATGACATGGCATTGGCTGTTCTGCATGTTAACACATCCCAGCCTTTAAATGCAAAACACTGGACTTGCCTGACTAACTGTAAAGTGCCTAAATTACAAACTGATTCTTTCTCAATTCCAGGAGCATCAATAGGTTTGTGAAAGACTATAATAAAGGTTGGCAAAGGAGCAAGCCATTTGGCCTGTTTTGGTCACTGCTTGCTATGTACTTATTGATACCACTGATACTACTGACCGCAGAATGCCATTTAAGACATACATGAGAAAGAACATTTACAATGTCATTCACAATTATATTCCTGATCCCCTTAAAAAATAAACTACTTTTTAAAATGTAAACTACTTTGTATGCAACTACTTTTTATATATCAGGATTTATATGGTCAATATTTTTATTTTGTATTATGTAATACTTTAGTTCCTGGTGTCCAGATGCTAACTTACAGTATACCTTCCTTAAGAATTTTAACCATGGTGAATAAATGTTTTTATTCACAACTGAGCAGCAGCTTCACGTCACCTTTGCAATGGTATCCTATGGGTTAAACATGCTTTTACTGGGTTTAGAGTGTTCCAAGAGTAAACCACAATGAGTTTTGCTTGCAAGTTTGTAAATAGGTCTTAGAAATATGTTTATTTCTATATTGTGGTTTTGGTACAGTATGTGTATGTAAAGTATGTGATAAAATAAAATAAATGTGTAAAATAATTCACAAGGGCATAGCAGTCCCAACACACAGAGGAAAAAGAATTGCAGTCTCTATGCATGGGGTCTGTCAGAGAAAGGAAAAAAAACACATGCAACACATGCACGTTTTCCCTAATTAGCTGTCATTCCCATTCCCAGACATTAATATATTCATGTGAAAGAAAGGATGATTTACATGTTAAATATAAGGTTTAAACAATTAAAAAATCATGCACATTTCTTTCTACACAGTTGAGGGAGGGCTTTTGTCCCAACTCTTTTGAAGCTATATATTTTTAATCATCTAAACCTTGCATACAACATAAAAGCTGTCATAAACATTTTCTTCACAATCCTGTCTCCACACTGCAGTTCAACTTATATTAATATATTCATGTTCCTCTTAAAATGAGGTTTTGTGAATTTGCTGTCTCAGCTCCCAGTTATGCTCCGTAGTACATGCCTGTCTCATACTGACAAAGTTAAGCTCCTTCTTTGCTTGTGATGAAGAAGACATCTTGATAAGGGATGACAAATGTCTTAAATACCTGCAGTTTCAGAGACTCGGGCTTGACTGAGTCATTGAGCGGTAGCACAGGAAAATGTACATGTCATGAAAACAAAACTGCAAAGAACAATTCACTTTTTTTTTGCGCCATGTTAACAAAACAGCCATAAATCATCATAGGCAACTAAGGTAATGTTTTTGAGACAACAAGTAATATGAGAAGTGGTAACAGAGTAGAGAACGAAATGTTTTTGCATTTTAAAAGCAATAGAACTCAAGTGATAGGAGTGTACAGCTCAGCCATTGTGAAGAATGTTCTACATCAGTATAGGCAAGGATCAACAGCCATTTGTCCAAAGGAAGACAGGCATTTAACTTTGAAACTTTATACTAGAATAGGAAGCAATTAACCTGACACCACCACTTGAAATCATAATTTTGCTCAGAATGTGAGAAAGCCAACTGAATTAATCGGTGTAAAGGGGACATAGAAAGATCTCCTTCATCTACTGTATGTTGAGCTGTGATATATCTTCCTACAGGGACTCCCTGTGATGTTCAATTTGAGTTTGTTCTCTATGTAGTGTAGTGAACTGCATTGAGCAGTAGAATAAAAATGAAAGATTGCTGGTGAAAAAAAAAGCAATTAAAATGGGAAAGCATAAGAAACAATATTGCCGAGTCTGCAAGAGTAAAGGAAACACATTTTGACAGGGAATTGTGCTTAGATTGGCCTACATTAAATTTTATGAGCGTTTAACCAAATAATAAAAAAGACCCGTCTTTGATGACACCGAGCCATAGGCTATCAAAAAACTGCATCAGAACACAGAAGTGTTTCAAAGCCCAGATTTTCCCAGTTTGGCTTTTTGAAAACCACATATCCTGAAGCCTATGCTTATAGCTCAATTACACAGGAAAATACAGACACATTAAACATGTTGTTTCAATAAAAGGACAAAATAGCAGACAGAGCCCTCTTGCTTTGCCTTCTTCCTCAATAATAGAGCCAGTGCACTGTGAAAGCCGCCTGCTTTTGGTTCCTTATCAGAACTTCTGATGATCAGATCAGGCTTTGTTAGGAGTTCTCATGATAACCTTTGGATAAAATAAAGGCCACCTAGATGTTGTTAGATGTTTAACTTCAGAGAGAGGTGGCATCGATGAACTATTATATACAGTCCCCCGAGATGTTGTATTTGCTTTATTCAGTTTCATACTGGCTTGCAATGGGACTTTACAGCAAATAAACAAAGCCACCTGGACATTGTTTCTCAAATGACTTTGTAGGCAATGTGTAGAATTTCATATTTTGCCTTAGGAAAGGTCCATGGCATTTTAATGCACAAAAGTGAATTGTTCACTCAGGGTGTAGTGAGAACCATGTTGACCTTATTTCTGTCCAATCCTAGGAGACTAAGGCCTTTATAAAAACACAGTTATATGCATCCCATGACAAGAGGAATCAGCCAGTCAGGACACCCCAGAAGGATAAGGGCAGAATCGCGGTGCGTATATTCAGAATAAAATTGAAAAATTATTAATAAATATTATGATATGGTATTTATATGTAAGCGCGATGCTCTGTTATTTTTATGAACTATGCGTTATTATATATACTCAGAAAATGAACTGGTAGGAAAACATTTTTATGATGATTAGCGCAGACATGATAAGGAATAAACAGATGTTTTCTTAGTTTATTAACTGATCATTTATTAATGTGTATACCCTGTTTGCAAAAAATGTTCCCATACTTGTCTGCTACATCTAATACGATATTAGGAAAGTTGAACTTTTCCTCAAGATCAATGGTGGCAGTATTTTGGATATATAACAGTAGAATGATTATGCTCTGCGATTGATGTATTCCAGGTACATTTTGCATGTATAACAAAATTATAAGGTTTTATGTTTTTGTATTGTTGAAGGTTCATACAATGTATGAATTTTTTGCACAATTAAAAATTAAAATCATTAATATTGTTCAATAATATCATAAATACTATTTCAGAGATGCGTTAAATCTTTAAAGATTGTGGTTGATAAAATTGATTTTCTATCTAAAAAGTTGGCAATTCCATCTAGATTAACCTGAAAACAGAAGACATGAAATGCAATAGGGAAGAAACATACAATCATTATTAAGCAAATGCAGTCTTTTGCTTTGTTATTTGCTAGTGACTGTGCTCTGAATTGATATTTTTAAGACACCATGGTCTTGGAGAAGGGCTGACAATTTTTCAGCATGTTAAATTCATTTTCTTAAGCCATATAAAGTAATAATGCATCAAAGAGAAAATACTTATGGGGCTGGTTTTTTTTTGCTTTTGTCTTATAAATGTTGCTTTATGCGACTAGATATTTTGTTACTCAAATTATATTTCAAGTGCGTAATGGCAAAGTTGGCCTAAAACAAATTGTTCCAAAAAGAAAAAATAGTGCTTAAAAAAATAGTTTCTGATATGAGTCTGTTATGCTTATACAGGCAAGGAAACCATGATGAACTTCTTCAGCTCACTGACTATAGCAGTGATGCTTTTCAGAACAAGCCTTTCCTTAACAGCAAGTGACTGCGGAGCAAACTTCAGACCCCCAGGTAGACTTTTATGTGTTTAACACTTGTTTAATTGAGCTAAATATGTTTTACTCTACTGCAGAAACTGATACTGTCCTAAACCTACAATCTTGAAGAAGGTTCCACAGCCAAAACATTGTGTTTTTTTCTTGTCAGTGTTCAATTAGCCTCTGCTTGTTCCTTTACAGCTCGCAAGCTGACACTACTCTAAACCATGTCTTAAAATTTTTAACAGAAGTCGAATCAAAACTTGTCTGCAAACTGGCTGTAGAATCATATGTTTGTGTTTTTTTTTTCAAATGTTTTATCTTTGTTAAATAACATTTTTTTCACATGCTGTATAAGGACAGGAGGATTCATCATCATGATCATCATGAAACCACATGGTTCTAAATGAAACTAGTAGACAATAGTAACCTGTAATAGAGATAACACAAAACTGTAAGGTCAGCCATACAGTACTGAGCTCTGGAAAAAGATTATTTGCAGATGTAACAATATCTTATTAAAGAATGCACTGTGTTCTTCAGGGCAGAAGATACATGGTGAGATTAAAGGAGGGAAGTTAGTTTTATTTTAATTTGGCAAGCAGAATGAAACAGATACATACCAAGGTACAGTGTCCACTTTATTTACATCACATGTATAAAATGCCTGGGAACAGGCTTGATTTTAATCATTAGAAAACAAAACATTTTAGATTCAGCTGTGTCAGCGCAGGGCCATGTCAACAAAGCACCAAAGATTAACAAAGCTTTCTTTTTAAAAACCAGAATACACTGACATCTCCGTGGAATGTGGCACCAGCACCATGTCACTGGCGATTTTAATCTGCCCAGCTATGTATGCTGGCTATAATGAGTCCCTGCTGATAGTGAACAGCATATATGATGACCCAAGATGCAAGGGAAGGATAGATGGTACAGTGACACCACCAGTCCTGCGGTTCAGTTTCCCCATCAATGAGTCTACTGCCTGTGGAAGTATTTTCAAGGTGAGAAACCTGAAACAATACAGTCATTTTCCTCCATACTAGGGTTGTGCTTTATTCACGTGTCCACATCAAGAAAGAAATCTGAGAGAGCATATTTTTGTTTTGACACTGTCTACAGCTTTATTACTGAAAATGTCTGCTATAAATTCCCCCCAACACCCTTGTGAATAACGTCTTGTAGCCACCAATCCACTTGCAGTCCTCTTTTCCTAGTGATCATTGCAGCAATGTGCTACAAGGTTTTTTTTTTGTATTTACAGTATTTGTTTGGGTTCCTGTATTTCAGTACCTGTGGTATCTCAACTGTCTGCTTTATTTGTGTGGCTCGTTTCACAGACAACAAGTGCACCTGGAACTGGGATTTTTTCAGACTTCTCCAATATCCAAACAGTGAACATTAGCGGAGTGGTTCGGTCAAATGATCCAACAACTGGCACTGTGACCTACAATCAGGAACTGGTGTATCTCTATTCCTGCTCTTATCCACTAGAATACCTTATCAACAACACCAGGATAGACGTGTAAGTATTTTACATATTCTATTTTTTAACAAACATTGGTAAAACTACTAAGAGTGGACTAATTTCCTCATATATTTCCATGAGCAAAATGGAAAAATAAAGCATCAGTTGCAAATTACAAAGTTTGTTTTGAACTTTGAATGAAGGGAGGTTGGCCTATCTGCTCCCAGACAACCAGAAGAGGTGAAAAGAGTGGAATATTCGAGGGCATATTTGGATACAACAATACCTTCTGTAACAATGGCTGGACAGGTCGGCTCAAACAGTGTTGGCTCAAAAGGCACGGCATTGTTCTAGAAATACGAGAAATAAATAAACACACTTTTCTACCTGAGTGCGCAAATCAATGGTAACCACATTGAAAAGCCTGATCTTGCCGGAAATGTATGGTTCAGTATTCTTATTATTCTCTTCAAATGTAACATTTGGCCTTTTCCACGTGGACTTCACAGACAACCCGTTTTTATTGATGCAGGGCTAGGGCTAGTTCTACTTCCATTTTACGTTATGACAGCCATTGCCGTCCACCCAAGCTTTGTGACGAGCCAGACCCCTGCACTTTCTTACTTTGTCTCGTTCTGCGGCAGGTCTGGGTCCTCCATCGCTGTCAAAGACAACAATGGCAGCTTCATCAGCACCCTCAGCCTGCAGCTGTACCAGGTGAGGCAATCTCACCTCAGTGGAAGAGCATTCAGTCTCCCGACTCCTTTACAGAACTGGCAGGCCTGCCGGCATCAGCTCAAGGATGCAGATATTCGATAAAAAAAAGATTTATCTCCATGACCAGTTGCAGACAAGAATATTCAAAGAGCAGTTAAACATCAGAGCTGCTGCTGTGCCAGCACTTTAACTTTATATATATATATGATAAATGATTTAATTGCATTGGAGGAGTTCAATTTTTGTAATGAATTACTACTACGGAGTATTTATCACTTTTAGTAAGTGTGACTTATACACTCATAAAACAGATTAGGGTCAGATTTTTCCACTATGGGCGATCTACAAGACACCTGCCCACCTGATTAAGTGAACATTGAGGGAGCATTGTGCTGAAAGTGGATAAGCAGGGCTGAAGACTAAAAGGAAAAGCTAACAATTTGGTGATTTTTTTTCCCAACCAGGATCGAAATTTCACAACTCCGCTGATAATTCCATCAGCAGGAATTGATTTAAGATCTGATGTGTTTGTCCAAGTCAAGGCTGTTAATTTAACTTCCAAGTAAGAAACTTTCATTGTTTATATTATGTCATGACTGATACAGGAATTTCAAAAACACTTTGAAATACTTTAGTGATATTTTAAAATAGATGTACAAAGCATCTGCAGGTAATACAAAAAATGCCTACAGCTTTTCTCTTTCTTCACAGGTTCAATGTCCTTCTTGATCGCTGTTACGCGTCAATTTCTCAGTTCCCAACAAACTCAACCTTCTTCAACCTTTTTGTCTCGTAAGACATTTAAAATATATTTTACTTCCTTTTATACAAATGTGATTCCCTCCGGCACATACTTTAGAATCCACATTTCAACTACTGAAGTGTTGTGCGTCATTTCTTCGCAAAGTTTTTCTGTGTATTTCACTGTAATGTCTTTACTTGGAAATAACTGTCCAGTTTTCCATTAAACACATTCTGCGCACATCAACAGAAGACAGGCAAAAATCAAATTTCAACAAAAGTGGCACGATAGGTACATTTCAGTTTTGTCAACTTGGTGTGACAAAACCTTTTCCTAAACAATCTTAACAATTTCTACACATTCTAATTATAACAACAAATCCTTCAATAATACACATTTTCAAGAGATGCGGTGTGTACAATTTAAAAATATCCGTTATATGAGTAACATCTTTATATATCATTTGTGTTAATAACAGATGCTCAAGAGACTCACTGACGACGATGATTGAAAACGGAGACAACCAATATGCAAGGTTTTCCTTCAAGGCTTTCCGTTTCATTGAGCAAAAGAATCAAACAGTTTCTACCTACTATTTACACTGCATCACAAGGCTCTGTGACAGAAGTTCCTGTGCTCAGTTCAAGGTACAGTCATCACAATTATCTGGCAGTGAAGCCTTCAGGCCCTGTGCATTTTACTGCACATCCTATTTCAGTAACAAGAAAAGCATGGCAAAAGATTTAGGGAAATGAGTCTTTTATGACTAAATTATCATAAATGCTCTCTGAATGCTTCAGAGCACTAAAAATGTGAAACGTTTGATTATATCACCAGCAGTTGCTGTCACTTTTTGTAGTAATGATTTTTCTAATGCTTATAGAAGCAGTCTCATTGACTAAAACAGGATAGAGTGACAGTAAAAGGATAGAGGGTTTTTTAACGGTTTAAACATAATGCATATGCTGTGTCTTAATATTTCTGGGGTGGAAAGGATATCCCGTTTTAAAACAGGAATAAATGGACTACGCTCTTTTTTTCCCATTGTTAGCAATGTTCAAGCACTGGTAAAAAGAAGAGGAGTGTGAGTGATTTTACGACCCCAGCTCCTGATGGGCTGTCTGAGCCCACTACCATCACCTCAGTGCCCATCATTACCAAATCTGAGAGCGGTACGTGTCTGATACACAAATCTAATACAGTGTTGGTTGCCGTTTTCTTAGCCACACACATACTTTTAGCATTTACAAATGAGTGACAGAATAAACTGAATTTTCCATGGAAAGTTTTCATTTTCCATTTCCATGTACTTGATGTTATGCTCCAGTATTGTGGAGAAACAAAAAGGATTACTGTACACATAGAAAAGGTCTAAAGGGAAACAGGTTCCAAAAACTGAGAGTATTACACACTAGACAGCTACATAAGCTCAGTGTGACCGCATTTTGTGTCTGTGATGACTTGGTATTGACACGGTACCTATTTGTACAAAGCAGTTCATTGTACGGTTGCTAAAACAGGACAGACAGTCTCACATGAACATTGCACATCAGGTGAAATCCACAAATAGGCCTGTACATACAGTATAATGAATACATTTCTGATTAACACTAAAAGGTGATGTTTATTTATCAACACAACTTTTTTAATTACTAACTTCAAATATAAAAAAATGTTTGTTTCTAAGCATTTTATCTTTGATGTTGTGCTTTGAATGACTTTAGTAACACCCACTATGTCAATATAATATATAATGTCTTCAATGTAATGCCTTTTACAATAAAATAAATATGGAAATCCACTAACTTTCAATTCGCATTGATGAACTCTTTTTGTCAAATTCCTTTTACAGTTATTCAGTCTAAAGAAGATGGTAAGTTATTTAATCCTGTTTGTCTTAATATCTGTTATGAATTAAGACAGCTGATTCAGCCACACTTCAGCTGAAATTGTAATGAATGAAAATTAATTGGAAAATTCTCAGCATTGAGTGTGTGGCAATTGTAATAACAAAGAAATCTACTTCAAGCAGCCCTCCCCAGCAATTAATGGGAAACAAATAGTATTACATTAATGGCTAAACAATGGAAAAATTTAACTTTTTAAATCGGTGGCATTGCCTGGATAACACAAGGCTAAAATTCACAAATACCTAAAATGAAATGAATATACACTACATCAATAAAGGCAGAAAAGAGGTATTGCCAAATTTTGGAAACATCATGAGCATATCATTCTAGGAAAAAGATCAAACTAATGGTAGTTCAGAAAGATAAAATACAAAAGGGTTATAGGTGATGGGGACAACACTTCAGGGGACAGCACCCCAGGAAAAAAATACTGAGAAAGGGACCCTGCAGTCTTTTGTACAGACAGACCACCAGTGATAAACTTTGTGAGACCTCCTCACAAGTTGTAAAATAATTAAGAACAAAACTTGTCTTGCCTCTGAGGATGTTTCATTTTAAAGAACTTGGCCCGGAGTATAAAAATTCAAAATAATGCATACTTTCCCCGATTCTTTTTTATTTTGACAGCTGTTGCTCCAACCATTGACGAAGTTAGAAGCATCTCAGTTGGTCTGGGTATCGCTGTGGGCTTCCTGGCTCTGATCTCCCTCGTAATGATAACTGTTGCTTTCATGTACTACCGAAAAACTAAGCAGTCACCTGCCACCTCCAAGATGTTTCCTAACTGATTGCTGGACAAGCTGGAACTACATGCCTACAAACATGTCCTTTTTATAACCATATCACAGTTTAAGATGCAACTTTAAACAGTCTGTTAGTGGGGTTATCTTGCTCTGGTGGAGGTGTGTGGTGATGGAGTCCACAATCTCTGTGCTTTTCAAACGCTGATGTTTATCTTTGACTGCAGTGAGATCTTCATTTCTTTGCACATTTTGGTAACTCTCTTTTAACAGAGGACTAGAATTCAGAAATTAAATTATTAGTAAGCAAAATTCTATTCCCAGGCATTTCCCGGAACTTTGTTCTAATGCTGTGTTACAAATTAATCTAGCTGGAACCCAAAACAGAAATGACAGAATATGCATAAAGAATGTGTAGAATTCAATGAAGAGCTGTTGCCAAACGTTGGAAAAGTAGGACCTACAAGATAAGGTCATCAAATTGCCATTAGAAAATGTGCCAGAGTTGATCACAAAACATAAAGAGGAATGATGCCTCTCTATTATCAGCTGTAAGTACAAATAACTACATGCAGAGCACTTTGCAGTTAGCGTCTCTAACAAAGAGTCTGTAACGAAAACATGCTTAGCCTATCCCTACCAAACCAGCAGACCGCCTTTAACACAAAAACTGAAGCAATGATCAAAAGCCTTTCCATAATTAAAAACAATAATGTTTGTTTTATTTCACCTACTATTCTAATTTAAATATTTTGTACACTAATACATATTTAAATATGTTATTCAGAATATTACTGCTGTAAATTCTAGATTTGGTGGAAAGAAGGAAATTAATCTGAAAGCATGTTATCAGTGCAAACCCCCAGACATTTTACACCATTCCTCAAATAAGACATTTAAACCTATTATTTTAAATGAAAACATAAAGAATCATTAAACATTAAAAGTTGCTTATTTATTAATTTCCCAGGTCATTATGAAAACCTACCATGTCTACCAATTTCAATTTGACATGTTAGAAATTTGACATGTTAGAAAATGCACTTGAAATAATATTTAGACATTATTTTTCTGGTACTTGTATTTTTAAAAGCTTTAATTTCTGGTGTTTCAGTGTTTTCTTGATTTAAAAAAATGTATATATTTTGTTACATTTATTCATAAATGCATGCATCATCAGAGTGGTGTTTTTATTAAATTTACAAAACCTATACAAGAATGTTTGTATATGTGAAGCTTCTCAGGTCAGGTCTTCTATGCAGTGTCTTAACTGAATGTGGCAACATATAAAGTAAAGTTTTGGGGAATTTTTATAGTCTAATCTGAGGTGATTACTTCACCAAAAGTTTCTATTTTACTCTCGAGCAATGTGCAGTCGTTATTTCTTGTATTAGCATGATGCATCCAAAAGATTTCCAAAAATGCCAAAACAAATATAGTTTTATTTACGTTTTATTTCACTCAGGATATGTATGATCAGGGGAATGATTTCTGCTTCCAAGTTAACAATAAATCAATAAACTAATTGTATTAGGGATTTCTTAGGAATGTGTTTTCCTCTTTACTTGTATATACAGTAAGCTTTAGTGTAATATGGGAGACGGAATTCTGTCAAGAGATAAATTAATGACTTAGGTCATGTCACTCCTCCTTGATTTCTGGGAGAACAGCTTAAAGTGGTCTACTCATTCAACTGCATCAAAGACTGGTGTAAACAACAGCTATGTTTCTGTGGGATGCTTTAAATCAAACTTTTTAATAATAACTTACAGATAGGCAAAATCTCTTCTCACCATGATGACAATAATCTCAGGAAAGCGGTAATTCCGTTCTAGCTTTAATTCCCAATTCTACATTCCCTGAAATGCACTTTCTTGGAATTCTCTGAAACCTTTCTATGAATTACAGGAAATTGTTCTGAATACCACCTTAATTTCAAAAATGAAGTGGAACAATGCTCACAAAAACTGAAATGTGCCATATCATAAGCATTTATTGCATCTCTTCTAATTCACACACCAATTAATATATCCATCATAGTCCAAACAATTTGGGTGCTCCAATAATTACTGGGTGCAAGACCTTAGTCCCCGAACTCAATAAAAAGAATTGTTCATGCTTGGCTGAAGAACGATAACTTACTTTGTTGTGAAATGTTGTTCTGAGCCAATTGTTTTTGTTTTGATCATATTTTTTTTTCCAGACCTAATTCCAGGATCGGAACTGATTTAAAATCACAGAGGTGTACGTTTCACCGTAAGGGGAGCTTCCTCATATTTCTAAAAGTTCTTGAACGTCTTATCGCAGCTCTTCGCTGAGACAGAAGCTTTGAACGAGAATCATTCAGTGGACACATAATGAAAGGAAAACATTAAAAGGAAACTACACAAAAACGGCAAAAACAGAACTACATATATGTAAGGGGTAGGGAATGAGCTGCCTCTTGCAGAAGCATTCGTCATTTTATTTGGGCCAGCTTTTACGAAAGCGTGAGCACCAGAAAAAGTAAACCCTTGACAATAAATACATTTCAGACTCTACTGCCTTAACAACTTGGAATGCCTAATGAGAAACTAAGAACGCTGTACATCTCCGAGGGCTGCTTCCTAATAGCTCTTTGTTCTTGGGCTTGATTCTGGACTATGCTGTAGAGTTTGCAGGCTCTCCCTATGTTTCTGTGGGTTTCCTCTGTGTTCTGTGCTCTGATTTCCTTGTACCTTCCATGCAAGCTAGGATAATTGGTATTACTAGACTGTTCCTGTATGTGCGCAGCCTGTGATAGAGTCACAACCTGTGCCCTTGGCACCCTGAATGATCTCCTAATATCACAACCCATGTTAGGAATAAGCAGTTGTTCTGGTACAGTCATGGGGGAATGGATGGATTAATAATTATCAACACAACAACACAGCTTTGAAATGAGCTCCTTCCACTGTGTGCAAAACTAGTGCGTCAGCCACTTGCTTCCCTCCTTTACAAGAATTGCAGTATTTGTAACATCTCATTTTTATTCCAGTTAAACACCCAATATGTTAAATGTAGCAGCAGTCAGTATTTCGCATGTCCGCTGTGGTAAACTGAAAGTAATCTAAATACATTTACAGAGGAATAGTTTTTGTTTAGCTGTAGTCCACAGGGCCATTTGAAAAAGAGACAGAGCACATTAACGATATTTTGCATAATTCTTAGAAATTAGAGCATGAATTATTCAGTGTGTCAAATTAATCTTCAGATCATTCTCCTTTATCTCAACTTCAGAGAAACTGCCATTTTCCTTATGAATACTGGCATTGTACTGAAGCACTTTACACTTAAACCCATTACATCTTTATTAAAAAGATAAACATTCTGATAATACATTGCCTTTGATTACCCAACAGTTTTACAATGTATCCTGGCATTCTCATTCCAACAGGGTAAAATAGGCAGCATGTCAGCATCAGAGCTGAAATTTGTTGTCCCTTGGGATCATCAGTCTTTAATTAAATTCTTCACCATATTTCTGCTTCACTGCTTTACAGTTTTAATACCTAGCACATTTCTTGGACCTTCAAACCTTTGAATGTGAAGATGGAGGGGCAGCCTCTCTTGTCCTGACTGCAGCAGTTCATTATAATGGATAACAGTGCCATTTGGGATTAGAAGAGAACAAAAGGGAGACTTTTGAATATGGCCTTACCTTTCACACAGCTGTGGTGTGAAATACTCCTTCTACAGCCTCTGAAGCACAATAGAATATTGCTTCAGGCTTTGAAGCCCATTGAGGTCAGTGTCTTCAACTGGGAGGTACTGCCAAATACTTTTATTTATGTTAAAATTCTGCTGATGTAGGGCTAGGGATTATGGGAAAATTTTCTTCTCATTGATTTTTTTATATATACAGTAACTTGTTTACTGGACTGAGGTGAAATGATAAAGGAATTGTGGTTACAGTGTTTTTTATCTCATGTAATTAAAATGTTCTGGATGCCTTACTGCTCTGGATGAATAATCCTCATTGAGTCACTCCTGATTCAGGTTAGAGAAAAGGTTATCGAAAGAAAATAGCACGTCTTTTAACATAAGTAAAACACCTCCCTAAACTAGGTTGATCAATTGTGAAAATTCAAAGCAATGGCATGTAATATGCTGTGCTTTAGAATTAAATGTTACCTGTTATTTCTTCTTAGGTGCATGCAGTTTTTTATTTGGCGATGGCAACTTCTCTGCTGCAATTTTTCAATGGCCTATTGCTATTTTGAGATGGTATTTACCATGAAACTGTGGTTCATAGATAAATATACAGGGATTCGATTGTTATTAACATGCCAAGCCTTATCTTAATCTTGAAAGAAACAAATATCATCTTAGATAAACCACTATAAAACAGATGTCTCATTCTTATTGTATGGGTAGATTAATAAAGCCATTTGTTAGTGGCTTATATTCTATCTTCTGTTTCTGTTTTACTTTTTTTATTTTATTCTCACATTACAACTAGATTAGGTTACCCATTACGATGAGCTATGGGTACAGAAGATTATGATTCACATTATGTCTGCAAGATGTCAGATTATCTAAGGAGAACTTTTCTTTAATTGATAAGAAAATGTATTAGTAACATGGTTTGTAGACAAAGATACTTCTACTAAAAAAGTACTACTATTTGTTTGTCTTCATCCAAGACTTGTCTTGGCAGAAAAAAATATCAGTAAGTGCAATAATTTACAATACAATAGAATGAGAAGATCAAAGGTGCTGTCTGATAAATTGAGTCCTTAAGGAACAATGAAGATTAAGGATTTAAGGATGCATGAAATCTGTCAGTAGTTTGCCACACTGTTGAGGTGTAAAGGTAGAGAAGCAGAGAACACAGAAAGATCTGTAAAGAAATGTAAACTCTATTTCCAGAGATAGCTGTGAATTACAGTATGTATTAGTAAGGTGTGGAGAACGTAAAATATAGAAACAGATCATTTAAAGGCAAAAACTAATTACAAAAATGTGGCAATAACTTTTCAACTAAGGTAAGCTGATCTGCATGCAAAACAGCCTTTCCTCAGCATGCATATGTGAAATATTCACTTGAAGTAACCTTATACGGCTAGATGTTCATTTGTGCGCACACTGTTCAAAAGGAAAAAGCTTTCATCTCAGACTGCCAGCCTTTGTTTCAAAGCATGAAGACAATAGGATGGAATTCCCTATTGAAATCATGTGAAAGCTTATTCATAATTCAAAGAATGGCTGTTAAATCTGTGAGCCAGTCTTGAAGCAGCTGAACATACTCAGAATTATGCTGGTGAGGGCGTTCTGAAGAGGTGTACAGTATCTGCTTGCTTTCAGTCCCATTCTAGTAGCTTCTATCGCCTTTAGAACAGGTTTCTACTGATAATAAAACAGGTTAGATGGTGCAAATGGCCTCCCCTCATTTGTAAGATTTTTAAAAACAACGTTGAACCCCCTTTTGCTGTGAATTCTGTTCTGACATGAATGGCTGGTTTGTTCCCGTCATGCCTTTCTTGTGTGAAGACTCAGGAGACAAGAAATGATTTGATTTCTGTGCAAATAATTCAATATTAAGAAATCACTGGTATTTCAGCTAAGGTAGGTAGCATAGTACCCTTCCAACAAGAAGAATGCAAATGATAGTTCACTAGTACATACAGTCATAATATATACGACCATATGAATATACAGGATCATAATAATGTAGTCCAATAAAAATAGAAAATGTTGTTTGACAGTTTTATAAATGAATTAGTATTTTGTGTCAGGAGGACAATCCTGTCTAAATCTCTCTGTATAGTGGAATCTTTTTATGACCTTTCCACATCAGTTTTTTCAAAATAGCTTACTGACATTTCTAGAAAACTGTAAGACATGGAATAAGATACGGCATAATAGTAGTTTATTTTCACACTGACTAAGATAGAGTTAGCTACTTCTTCAATTAAGAAGAGAAGCATTATCTCTCTTTTGAAAATAGATCTGGATGCCCTCTTCTTCAGGGGCATGATTTCCAACACTCCTTGAAAAGACAAGGAAACGCATTTATTTTCCTTTCACTAGTTCCAACAGTTTCACTTGTTCAATGCAATGAAAAAATGCCTCAGAAATACCTAGTTAAAGGTAAAACATCTAAACCCAAACCAGAAACTGAAGTGCAGCTACAATACTTCAGTCTAAGGTACAGTACTTAGCGGAGTTGTGTGATGCAACAAGCTACCACTAGGTGGAAGGCTAGTCACTGCATTCACAAGTGTGCTCTTCTGCTTTCTCAAAATTGAAGTAGTTGTTAATCACGTGAACTGACTTTCCATTAGCTCTGCATGATGATTCAACCAAATTACCTCAAAATAATAATGGATTAGGTACTAAAATAAAATAAAAAAAACCTGTGAAACATTCTTCCAATGGTTTATTTTTTATATTTTGCCTTAATAGTAACCATACTCCTGTTAGTTTAGGGTGGTCAACATGCGTCAGCATGTGTAGGCTGCAAAGGAACAAGTAATAGGTTTGTTCCATGCTGAAGAGAGAAGAAAGA